CGGAAGATATATTACATTCCGGAAAATATTAAACTTTTCGGGAAATATAAACTGTTCCGGAAAATATAAACCGTTCCGGAAAGTTTGTAAAAACTTTCCGGAAAAAATATATTAGACCTCCCGGAAGATATATTAGAATTCCGGAAAATACAAACAAACCTTCTGGAAAATTATTAAACATTCCGGAAAAATATATAAGCCCTTCTGGAGAATATATTAAAATTACAGAAATATAATACTTTCCTGAAAATCTATAAAAACTTTACTGAAAATTATACGACATCCGGAAAATATATAAAACTTTCCGGAAAATTATTAAACCTTCCGGAATATATTCCACATCCCGGAAAATATATTAATATCAGAAATAGAACTTCCGGAAATTAAAATAAACATTCAGGAAAAATATTACTTTCTGGAAAATAAATTCAACTTTCCGGAAAATATATTTAAACTTCCGGAATTATTTTCAAAAATATTTAAACATATCTAAAACCCACCAAAGTATAAAAATGTGAAAAAATAGAACGTCCAGGAAAGGCTTTAAAAACAGGCACACTTTTGTGGAAATTTGCTAGTAATTTGTTTTGTCCATTTTTCAATTGAATATTCCCAATCATTAAAGATAATGCACGATTTTGTTGAGTATCATAGAGAATGAGGTCGAGCACAAAACTGTAGTAATAATAAGGGTGGAGACGCAATCCTGCCTAAAAAAATTTTTTTGAATTTTCCGGAAATGATTAAATGAAGGTTTCCGGAGACTAAAATACAAAGAAACACAAGTATTAGTATTTTATTTCCGGAAAGTAACTCTAAAAAAGCTTTCCGGAAAAAATACATTTTCTAATATTTAGTTCATAAAATAAAATTTTTCCGGAATCTAGGAAAATACAAAAAACACAACTTTACCATCTTAATTTCCGGAAAGTATATTATAAATAAACTTTCCGGAATTAAAAATAATAAAACTTGTTGGTTTGTATTTTACCTCCGGAAATAATTATATTAACATCTCAGGAAAATGAATAAAAACACAACTAAGTTTTTTTAAAAGTTAGTGTGTATAAATTCTATAAAACTTTTCCGGAAAATTTTTGTAGATTGTTTTTTAGTCAATAAAATAAACTTACCGGAAATGATTATAAACTTTTCCGGAATTTTAAATAAAGCAAGTTTTAATAAAATTTCTTGTACAACTATAAATAAACTTTCCGGAATTAAAAATACGAAAACTTGTTGTTTTGTATTTTATTTCCGGAAAAGTTAATATAAACTTCTCCGGAAAGTTGGTAAAATAAAATAAAAAAATAAAACTTAAAAACTTGATAAAACTTTCCGGAAATAAAACACAAAAATACAAGTTTTAATATTTCCGTTCCGGAAAGTTTTATATTTTAATAAATATAGACAAACTTTCCGGAAAAGTTAATATAAACATTTCCGGAAATTAAATAAAAATTAACTAAGTTTTAATATTTTAGATCCGGAAAGTTGGTATTTAAACTTTTTCAGTTTATAAAATAAACTTTCCGGAAATGTTATAACCTTTTCCGGAAAATACAAAAAAAAAACACAAATTTTAATATTTCATAACCGGAAAGTTTTGCGATTCCGAGAAGTAAATTAAAAATAAACTTTCCGGAATTAAAATATAAAACTTGTAACATTTTTTATTCAATTTCCGGAAAAGTAAATATAAACATTTCCGGAAAGTTTTAAATAATTTAATTAGAGAACCTCCTCCACCCAAAACTCTGCTTCCGGAAAAGAACAAACCCCAGCCAATTCTATCATACAAGTTTTAAACGTAAATTCTAAAGGTTGTCGCAGCTCTGTAAAACTAGTGGCAAACACGGGGCGTAGCACAGCTGGGGTAATTAACGAAAAGGAAAGGACGAGAATAAAATTTCCCAGAAGCTGGGCAAATTGTTTTAAATTAATCCAACGAAAAAGTTGTCGCCAGAAGAAATTAAAAATTTTGTAGACCTGAAAAAATATTTTTTTTGGGGAATTTTTTTGGGGGGATTTTTGAAATTTAATAACCTGATGGAAAATAAAACGTCGGATCATTCATGCCAAAAAATACTAAAAAAATAAAATTTTTGAAAAATTATCGAAAAAAAATTTTTTAAGGTAATTTTAATAAATTGACCATTTTGCAACTTTATTTCACTACTGAACCTTTTTTCATGGTTATTTTATGAAAAAAATTATTAAACGTAGCCAGTTCATGACTACACATTTTTTTAAAGCAGGGACGTTCAGTAGCTATATTTGAGAGCGAGAAATAAGGATATTGTGCGACATTTGAGCACACGACATTTGCGAACACTTAGCACCTCAGTTCAGTCTGAACCCTATAACTCAGCAAGGGATGGTCACTTTTTCATGTTCTTGGTATCATTGGATAGAGAATCTAAAGCTCTACAAAATTTCAAAAAATCAGAATTTTTGATCGATTGATAAAAAAGTTATGATATAAAAACCAACTTTTTCAAAAAAACGTGATTTTTTGGCGCTTTTTCGAACATAACTTTTTTACCAGTTAGTCAAGAATTCTGATTTTCTGGTATATTGTAGCTTATTTAATGCTCTATCTAATGGTACCAAGAACATTAAAAATTATCTGCCCCTTCAAAAGTTATAGGCGCCAGACTGAACTGAGTCCAGACTGAAACGAGGTGTATGCTTGCGGACAATTTTTATTAAATTAAGTACAAAATTAATGAGAGAAAAAATATGTAAGTTTCTAATTTTATAAAAACAAGCTAATAATTATCCACAAAATAATAAAAGTTTGAAAAAAATTAAGGCTATAAAATAAAGTGGTACAGCCCAAGTAGGCGCGCGGCCAAGTAGGCGCAAGACCATAACTTGCTTCAAAATTTCGGAATCTTTGAAAATTTAGTATTAAACGATTCCTCTGATATAGCTAAAGAGATTGGTACCAAAATTGATAAGGGTCCAAAATTTTCCAATAAGTTATGGCCTAAAAACTAAGAATTTTGGCCTGAAACAAGTATATTAATGGTCATAACTTTTCCAAAATTTGGCCGATTTTGATGTTTTTTGTTTTAAAATGAGCGTAATTTCAAGCCTAATTTTTTTAAATTAAAAGCATATTTTTAAGATAAGTTCAAAAAAGTTATGCTAAAAATTCGCAAATGTCGTGTGTTCTCAAATGTCGCAAAGCGATTTTTAATTGAAAAAAATAAATTAAAATAAAAAGAGCAACGACTGGTTATTATTTTTCGGCTTTTAACTTTTTTCTCCTTCCTCTAGATTGATAAAATTGACAAAAAAAGATAAAAGTACACAAAAACAAATTGATAAATGATAAGAAAAAAAGAAAATTTTTTGTTTACTTTTGAAGACAAATGGTCCCACTGAAACCAAAAGGGCTACTATTAGAATAATAATGAGGGGGCTACTATTAGAATAATAATTAAGGGGCCACTATTAGAATAAAAATGAGTGGGCTACTATTAGAATAAAAATTAAGGGGCCACTATTAGAATAAAAATGAGATGGCTACTATTAAAATAAAAATGAGGGGGCTACTATTAGAATAATAATGAGGGGGCTACTATTAGAATAAAAATGAGGGGGCTACTATTAGAATACTAGAAATATTAGAAAAATAGTATAATGGAGAGGACAGAATGAAGAGGCTACTATTAGAATAAAAAATTTTTAAAAATTTTTACATCCTTTTACCCCTAATTATACCCCAAGAACAAAAAATTATTAATAATTTATTAACTCATTTATACGCCCATCCCCCCCGTGTTGTTTGTTTGGCCACGCCCCCTTTTCTATAAATATTTTTGCAGTTCAGCAAAAACATTTAAAAATAACTCTGCGCATATTTCTTTTATTTAATGGACTCTATTATTTTTTAAAAATATTTTTATTTAGCTGAGATTTTAATCTCTTGATTTTTAAAAATCAAAAAAATTCTAAAAATTTTTCTAAAATTTTTTAACTTAAAATGCCTCTAATATGGACAACTTAATTAACGACTGTCAGTTAATTTCCAATCAATATCAGCTGGAACAACGGCAAAATAATAAATGTAAAATTTTAAAAATATTCTAAACTCAGACCTCCCTTATAAAACTACCCCATAAATACCCCTATGAGTGAAAAAATAGTAGTAGATTACTTATGGGGTGTATATTAAATGGAGGGTATGCTTAGCACAAGTATGTGTGATATGTTCCTCCCAGCCCACAAGTAGTGTGAAGGGAACAACATGAGATGTTCCTTCCAGCCCACAAGTAGGGTGGAAGGAACACCATGTTCCTTCCAGCCCATAAGTAGGGTGAAAGGAACATCATGAAATGACCCTTTCAGCCCATAAGTAGTGTGAAAGGAACATCATGAGATGTTCCTTCCAGCCCACAAGTAGTGTGAAAGGAACAACTTGAGATGTTCCTTACAGCCAATAAGTAGGGTGGAAGGAACACCATGTTCCTCCCAGCCTACAAGTAGTGTGGAAGGAACATGTTCCTTCCAGCCCACAAGTAGTATGAAAGGAACACCATGATATGTTCCTTCCAGCCCACAAGTAGTTTGAAAGGAACATCATGAAATGACCCTTTCAGCCCACAAGTAGTGTGAAAGGAACACCATGACATGTTCCTTCCAGCCCATAAGTAGTGTGGAAGGAACATGTTCCTTCCAGCCCACAAGTAGGGTGGAAGGAACACTATGAGATGTTCCTCTCAGCCCACAGGTAGTGTGAAAGGAACATGTTCCTTCTGGCCTATGATTGTGCCCTTCGCACTATCAAGAATGTTCCCTTCACCCTATAAAAATATATAATGGCGTTTATTAAATAGAGGGTTTCATGCCTAACTGTGAAGACCTCTTAGGCATTAAAGATTTTCAAAAAAAATTTCAAAAAATTTTCAAAAAAATTTTTTCTAAGCCTTATCATCATCTGCCCTAATTTCGCGCAGTACCCATTCCCCACAGTCCCCTCCCACCAACAACACCGACAAAAAATCTAGCATTAATGACCTGTCATCAATGACAACACCATCTGTTATTGCGCGAATTAATAGAAAGCGCTCAGCTGGCGAATTAAAAAATAATTTAATTCAAAATGAAGAAGAAAAAAATATTTTTTTGAAAGAATTTGAGGGGGAGAGGAAGAAGAAGAAAAATAATGGAGGGGAGGAAAGGATGAAAGAAGACGTCGGTGATGTTGAAAAAGATGGGGGCAATAAAGCCCTTGAAAAAACAGAGATGGTGATAAAAACGCCTGAGGGGGTGAATAAATTTTTTTTTAGAATTTTGGAATGGAAAAATTTTAAAATATTTCAAAATGTCAAATAATCAGAAAAAATTACGAAATGTAAAATTTCTGGTTTCTGAAGATTACATGGATGACAAGAGTTAGTTCTCTCTCCGTATATCGCTAATTTATCCGTTCTCGCCGGATTAATTCGGCGAGAACGGAGTTCTCAGCACACTTATTATGAAAAATCAGAATTTAAAAAAATTAAAAAATCAGAATACTCAGAAATTAGTTTTAAAAAATTAGAGAAAAACAGAAATCAGAAATCAAAATTTTAAAAATCAAAAAATATTTCAAAATTTAAAAATTAGAGTTAGAAAATAATTTAAAATAATTAAGTTTCAGAACAATTTAACTCCTTTGGAGACAAGGATATGTGGTGGTGCCTCATTTGATTTAAGCTGGCAAGTTGAGGTAGCATAAATAATTAATTTTAAATTTAATTGAATTTTGAAAAAAATCAGAAAATTCTGAAAAAATTCTGAAAATTTCTGAAAAAATTTCTGAAAAAATTCTGAAAAATCAGAAAATTCTGAAAAATTCTGAAAAATTTCAGAATTTGTTGAAAATTCATAAAAATATTATAATTTTTTTCTGAAAAAAATTCTGAAAAAATTCTGAAAAAAATTCTGAAAAATCAGAAGATTTCGAAAAAAATAAAAATTCTGAAATTCCATTTTTAGTGGTCCGGCACCTTTTCAGTAGGCAAAATAACAACAGAAAATATAGCTAAACGACTAGATTCATTAATTTTATTAAAATCAGAATTAATTAATAATAATAAGAGAAATACCAGAATGAGTTCAACTTCAGTGTTTTTAAATATTTCTTCTGAAAAAGAAAATGGCGGGGGAATTGTATGTGTTACTGAAGTCGAGAATGCTAAGAAGGCTAGTTTATTTTTATAGAAATCAGAATTTAAATAGAAAATTCTGAAAATCAGAATTCTGATTTAAGAATTTTAATTAAATCAGAATTTAATTAAAATCAGAATTCTGATTTAAAATTAAAAATCAGAATTTTATTAAAATCAGAATTCTGATTTAAAATTAAAAATCAGAATTTTATTAAAATCAGAATTCTGATTTAAAATTAAAAATCAGAATTTTTAAAAATCAGAATTCTGATTTAAAATTAAAAATCAGAATTTTATTAAAATCAGAATTCTGATTTAAAATTAAAAATCAGAATTTTTAAAAATCAGAATTCTGATTTAAAGAATTTTAATTAAATCAGAATTTAATTAATACCAGAATGCTGATTTTAAAAATTTAAAAATTCAGAATATTCTAAAAATCAGAATTCTGATTTAAAAATTAAAATTCAGAATTTTTTAGAATCAGGATTCTGATTTGAATATAAAATCAGAATTTTCATAATCAGAATTCTGATTTAAAAATTTAAAAATCAGAATTTTTAAAAATCAGAATTCTGATTTTAAGAATTTTATTCAAATCAGAATTTATTATATTTTAAAGGTAAAAAATCAGAATTTTTTACATAAATTCTGAAATAAATTTATTTTGTATTTGGGGGTGTTAATGAGTGTATCTGTAATTTTTAACACAATTTTTCATTAAATTTTTTTTAATTTTTAAAATTCTGAATTTTATTAATATCAAGAACACACATTTTTTCTTACCTTTTTCCTTCTCTAAAAAATTTAAAAAAATTATTTAAAAAATTAAAAAAAATATTTATTACACACTATTAACATATTTTTATATTATCATATTTCATTTAATAAAATATCCAGAAAATATTTTATTTGAGCCAATAATGGTTGCCTTTCCCCAATATTCTTTTGTCTATATTAATCCCCTCTAAACACGCGTCACTCATTCACTCATGGATTTTTTTTTGAAAAAAAAAATATTTTTTTTTTTATTAATCTCATATTTATTTAACACATTTTTAATACAAAAATAATATAAAATTAGAAAATATTATTTTAAAAATATTTTTTAGTTTATATTTTTAATGCTAAAATAAGCTACAGGGCGAAAGAAGTTAAAATTCTGATTTTAAAAATAAACTTGTTCTCTTAATTATTAAATTAAATTTAGAATTAAAAATTCTGATTATTTGTTAAATTATTTAATCAGAATTTTAATTTTCAGAATTTAACCGATCAGAATTTATTTTATAAAATAATCAGAATAGATATTCTGATTTAAAAAAATACAAAAAATCAGAATTTTCTTGTAATAAAAAATCAGAATTAAAAATCAGAATTTTTATTTTCAGAATTTAATTGATCAGAATTTAATTGATCAGAATTTATTTTATAAAAAATCAGAATAAATATTCTGATTTAAAAATATGTATATAAAATCATAATTTTATTTCAGAATTGAAAACCAGAATTTTTATTTTCAGAATTTAAACGATCGGAATTTCTATTTTCAGAATTAGAAATCAGAATTTCTTATATACAAAATTAAAATCAGAATTTATTTTCAGAATTGAAAATCAGAATTTTATCTCAGAATTAAAAATCAGAATTTTTCTTTTCAGAATTAAAATCAGAATTTATTTCAGAATTAAGATCAGAATTTTTATTTTCAGAATTAAAAATCAGAATATAAGAAAACACAAAAAAACAAAATTCTGATTTTTAAAAATACAAATCAGAATTTGTATTTTATCAAAAACACATTTATTATTTTCTGTATTTTCTTTAAATTCTGAAAATGTTTATTTCCTTAAATATATTTATTAGCTTTATTTCTTCCCTCATTAGCCTTCCCAAATTTTATTTATTTACAAAATTATTCTCTAAATTGCGCAAATTCTTTCCAATTTTATTTTTTAAAGCAAATGCTAATGAGAAGGAAAACATGCCAATTTTCCCCAATTTTTGCTTTTCTTGTTAGCTTTAAATTTTTTGTGTTATTTTCTTGGGCTAAAGTACACTTTACCGGGCGATTTTAGATTTTTATGATTTATATGTCAATCGAAAGAGCTCGGCGAGCTGAGTCGAATGACATCAAAATCAACGAAATCCGACTTGATTTGACAAAGTTATGATCTTTTATTTTAGCTCCTTACCTATGGCATCTGTGGAGATTTTTGCTGCTACTGAGGCCCCAAATACGTCCAGAGCAAGGGAGATAGGAATAGGTTTATGTTACGAGCCCAGACCCAGCGCCCGTAGACTCCCCGCGAGGCGCGTGCCGCAAAACCCCGCGCGAAGCGCGGGGTTTTGCACAAGCGCCTCGCCGACGCTCCATAGGTTTAGGTTTTTTGTTTTTCTATTGTAACTTTGTCCAAACTTTTACAATCAACCTGATTTATACCTGGCATATTCGAACTTTTTACCCCCAAAAAAGTGCTTGGTCCCCCCTATGGTTTTCGATTTCAACCTGGCATATTCGAACTTTTTACCCCCAAAAAAGTGCTTGGTCCCCCCTATGGTTTTTCGATTTTTGGGGACCCATATCTCGGTCCATAGTTGAGTCCGCGGGCTAATTTTGGTGTCATTCGACTCAGCTCGCCGAACTCTTTCGATTGACATATAAATCATAAAAATCTAAAATCGCCCGGTAAAGTGTACTTAGGCCTTTTCTTGGCTTATTTTAAGTTAATTCTTCCAAAATATTTTCCCACATTTTTACTAAAAATTATTATTTTATTTATGCTAATTTTGGCTTTAAATAATGCTTAGATTAGCTTCATTAGCATGTGAAAATTTATTTTTAATTAATTAATATTTTTTCGAAATTTAAAAAATATTTCTGATTTTGGTTCTGATTTTTATTCTGATTTTTATTTTAATTTTTTCTGATTTTTGTTCTGATTTCTGATTTTTTTATTCTGATTTTCGTTCTGATTTTTTCTGATTTCTGATTTCTAATTTTTTCTGATTTTTTATTCTGATTTCTTGCTTTTATCCTGATTTCTGATTTTTATTCTGATCTCTAATTTTTTCTGATTTCTGGTTTTTATTCTGATTTTTATTCTGATTTTTAATTTTTCTGATTTCTGGTTTTTATTCTGATTTTTGATTTCTAATTTTTTCTGATTTTTGATTTTTTATTCTGATTTCTTGCTTTTATCCTGATTTCTGATTTTTATTCTGATCTCTAATTTTTTCTGATTTCTGGTTTTTATTCTGATTTTTATTCTGATTTCTAATTTTTCTGATTTCTGGTTTTTATTCTGATTTTTGATTTCTAATTTTTTCTGATTTTTGATTTTTTATTCTTATTTCTTGCTTTTATCCTGATTTCTGATTTTTATTCTGATCTCTAATTTTTTCTGATTTCTGGTTTTTATTCTGATTTTTATTCTGATCTCTAATTTTTTCTGATTTCTGGTTTTTATTCTGATTTTTATTCTGATCTCTAATTTTTTCTGATTTCTGGTTTTTATTCTGATTATTATTCTGATCTCTAATTTTTTCTGATTTCTGGTTTTTATTCTGATTTTTATACTGATCTCTAATTTTTTCTGATTTCTGGTTTTTATTCTGATTATTATTCTGATCTCTAATTTTTTCTGATTTCTGGTTTTTATTCTGATTATTATTCTGATCTCTAATTTTTTCTGATTTCTGGTTTTTATTCTGATTATTATTCTGATCTCTAATTTTTTCTGATTTCTGGTTTTTATTTTGATTATTATTCTGATCTCTAATTTTTTCTGATTTCTGGTTTTTATTCTGATTTTATTCTGATTTCTAATTTTTTCTGATTTCTGGTTTTTATTCTGATTTTTATTCTGATCTCTAATTTTTTCTGATTTCTGGTTTTTATTCTGATTTCTTTCCGATTTCTGGTTTTTTCTGATTTCTGATTTTTTCTGATTTTTTCTGATTCTTAACTTTCTGATTTTCTCATCGAGTTCTCGAGCTTTTAATAATTATTTTTAAATCACTTACACATACCCAAAATTTTAATTTTTTCTCTCGCCTAAAGTGTTGATTCCTTAATCCCTTCCGGATATATTCCACCACTTTTCTCCCCTTCAAAACAATTGTGTCCCCATTTTTTTTTGTTTACCCCTTCTCAATCATTTTATTTTCTTAATGAAAAAGGGCAACTTTCGACCTTTCCACAAAAAAAATTTTTTGCCTTATTTTCCCCCTATTTTTATTTTTCATGTCAAGTACCAATTATGCAATTTGGAAAAATATAGGCGAGAAAATAAAAATATTTTTTTGGGGAGAAATAAATAAACTAAAAATATAAATTGAGACAAGGCACAGAAACAGTTCTTAATCTGTCTGAATTTTTTATTTTTGAGAAAAAATTTTTTAAACGGGAATTATATTAATTCCCAATGTAGGGGCATGATCCCTAGTATTTTTCAAACACGCTAAGACCACCCAGAATTTTTTTCTCAAAATTTCAAAGGGAGATAGGACTCTTTAGGGATCCTATTTTTGTTATAATTTCTGATTTTTTATTCTGATTTTTTTCTGATTTTTATTCTGATTTTTGTTCTGATTTTTTATTCTGATTTTTGTTCTGATTTTTTATTCTGATTTTTATTCTGATTTTTTATTCTGATTTTTATTCTGATTTTCTTTCTGATTTTTTTTCTGATTTTTTTCTGATTTTTGTTCTGATTTTCCGATTTTTATTCTGATTTTTTATTCTGATTTTTTTCTGATTTTTGTTCTGATTTTTGTTTTGATTTTTTCTGACTTCCGATTTTTTTTTCTGATTTCTGATTTTTTTCTGATTTTTTATTCTGATTTTTTTCTGATTTTTGTTCTGATTTTTGTTCTGATTTTTGTTTTGATTTTTTCTGACTTCCGATTTTTTATTCTGATTTCTGATTTTTTTCTGATTTCTGATTTTTATTCTGATTTTTTTTCCAATTTTTCTTCTGATTTCTGATTCTTTAGGGCGAATACCTCCATTTG